CACATGGCAGCTTGTGGTTGATAAAGTAAGGAAGAGGTTGTCTCTTTGAAAGAGGAAGGTGTTGTCTTTTGCAGGAAGACTAACGTTGATTAAGTCGGTTGTGGCTCGTTTACCTTCCTATTATATATCTATATTTAAGATGCCTAAGGGAGTAGTGAAGACAATTGACAAATTGCAGGCTATGTTTCTCTAGGGCAGCAGTGATGTTTGGAAGAAAGTACATTTGGTGAGATGATAGGAATTGACTGAGCCTAAAATTCAATGAGGGTTAAGGGATAGAAGTATAAGTGAAATGAATGTTTGTTTATTACTAAAATGGTGGTGGAGATATAGTGTTGAAGACAAAGTCTTGTGAAAGGCTATAATCTGCAGCAAATATGGGAGATATGGTGGTGGGTAGTGGCCTGATGTTGGTGATGCACGCAATTTGTCTCCAATTTGGCAGGGCATTCTCAATATTGTGAAGGACAACCCTCAGGTGCTTGACTTTTATTTCGAAAATGCAAATATAAAGGTTGTGAATGGAGAACGAATTCACTTCTGGACTGATCTGTAGTGGAATAGTTGTAGGCTCAGTGAGAAGTTTCCAAGATTGTTTAGTCTCTCTATAGAAAAGAAAGGCTCTTTGATGCACTACAATTTGAGTCAGGCGAAGACAGGGAAATGGAATCTGGTATTTAGAAGAGGGCTGGGAGCATGGGAAGAAGTGGAGGTTAACAGGTTATGTGAGTGGCTGAGTGTAGTACCTATAATCAGGGGGAATCTAGCTGACTATTTGAGGTGGGAGCTAGATCCATTAGGTCAGTTTTCAGTGGCATTTGTGTGGAAATGGTTCCAAGTAGCTAAGGGATCGAAGTTGCGTGTTATGAATAAGCTGTGGCAAACTCTAACTCCTCCTAAAATCCAATTCTTTGGCTAGTTAACATAGAGGGGAATGGTGAAAACTTCTGATTTCTTGCAGAGAATTGGGGTGTTGGGTGTAAATGCTGCCACACAGTGTGTTACAGGAAATTGAAAGTGTAAACCATGTTCTATTAAATTGCCCACTGATTTCGAGAGTTTGGTTTAGAATTGTAAGATGTTGGGATATGTGGCGGGTAATCCCTAGGTTGGTTGAGGCTTTGTTACATTGGTGGGCAGGGGCATCGATTAAGAAAAAAGAGGTGAAGGTGTGGAAACTTGTGCCACTAGTATTATTTTGGTCAATTTGGAAGTTAAGGAATGATATATTGTTTAATGGTGGCCATCCTAATTTTGATGATTTAGAGGATATTGTGAAGACAAGGATAGCATTTTGGGGTAAGAGCAGTTTACCAAGTGTGCATTATACAGTGCATGACTTTGTTCATAATCTTCAACAGGTTAGAAATTTGCTTGAAGTGAAAGGTGCATGAATTTCTTATTGATGTGGCACTGTGGTGGCATTGTTCTGGGAAGCTCTGTGCTGGCTTTTGGTGTCATGAACTGTTGCTGCTGTATGTAGTCATGATGCTGTGTGCTGGTGTTTGCTGTCATGTGTAATAGCAGTGTGCTACTATTGCTGTGTGCTAGGTGCATTTTTCAGTTTGTTTAGCCGCCCTGTTTTGGTTGGTGCCTTATCAACCTTGGTTTTGTGCTAGCTCATAATGGAGCTCGTGTGTGGGTGCCAATCTAATTGGGATTAACACATTGGGTTTGACGCTTCAACACTAACCACTTTCTTTATTTATGTATCACTTTGTATCACCTTATATTATTTTGTGGTTATCAATAAAGTTTTTTTGCTGTTCAAAAAAAAAAAATGAGAAATGTATGTGACAATGAAAAATAAGGTAATTGAATTTATAAAAACGAAAAAGGAACCACCATTCAGAATTTGAATAAAAATTATCACAAATTAGAATAATAGGTAAATATTAAAAAAAAAAGAAGTAATAAAATAATAACATTTACTACTATTGAATTGTCATATATCACAAGAGCAAACAAAGAGATTAGCAAAGGACAAATTTGCCACTCACATTTTTTTACCAAGTTTTCATCTCGTACACTAAACGTTTTTTCTAACCTTCTAATACTTTGGTTTCGTTTGGGGAGTGGGTTGATTTTTTGATATTTTGGCTATTTTAATTTTAGCTAAAAACTTCGTTTGAGTTGGACTTTTTGATTTTTTTGACTTTTGTGAGAAAAAAGTGAAATAATTATAATTTGGATGTGACATTTTATTTTATTAATTTTTTTACCTATTTTGTCTTTTTGTGATTATTTTAGTCAAAAAGCCTCTCAACCTAACATGCCAAACGAAGGCTTTACTAACATATAAAGGATTTAGCACTTTGAATTGTATCGAACTGGTAAATTACACTTTGCACCTTTGTATTTTACACCAAATCTGACTTTGACCCTTACGCATGAAATTATGACAATCAACTCTTTACACTTCTAGTCAAATTCCACTTTGGTCCTTGCACATGAAATTGTGACAGTTAACCCTCTATTCTTTTGGTCAAATCTCACTTTGATCTCTATATAAGTGTCAATGTTCATTTTTGTTACTCAATTGTTTAATCTTTAATAGAATTTAGTCATATAATAAGAATATGACTACAATATGAGGATAATAAAGGAAAATCATCTAAATTTTCACCAAAACACACTTTATTCCAAAATTTACATCAAAACATGATTGTATTAGGCTAAAACAAAACGCAGATTGTGAACAATTAAGAAGATGAACTAGGGTTTTGCATAAATTGGAATCACAAAACATTATTTTTTACGGTAACACAGTCTTTTAGATATTCATCTTTCTTTCTCTTTGATTTTTTTGTCGCATTTTTTTTATATTTTATTTCAAAACCTCTACCTCTTGCCTTTTCGTATCAATTTTTACCATACATATATATATATATATATATATATGTATTAGATAACTCTCACATGCTTATCATATAGAACAAAGTGTATTGGTGGTAAATATGAATGATTTTCTCTCTTACCTTTATTTCATAGTCATATTTTGTCACATGACTAGATTTTGTTAAGAATTTAAAAATAAAGTAACAAAAAAGGGGACATTAACACTTGTGTAGGATCCAAAGTGAGATTTGAGTAAAAGTATAAGTGGTTGGCTGTCATGATTTCATATGAAGAAACCAAAGTGGGATTTGACTATAACTGTAGGGGGTTAACTGTCATAATTTTATGTATAGAGGCCAAAGTGAAATTTGGTGCAAAGTATAAGCAATGTGTAATTTACCATGTATCGAACATTTGTAAGGGATAATGTTATGATACACACCTTTAAGACTATGGCCCTGCTTGGTAGGATTTATTTCCAGCTTATTTCAGCTTTTAGCTTAATTTAAGCTATTTTGATGTGTTTGGTTCAACTTAACAATACAGCTTATAGTTTTTTGTAAGTCAAAAATCAACTTATTCTTTGAGTAGGGGAAGAGAAACTTAATTTATAAGTCAAAAATCAGCTTATGTTCATAGTTATAAGCTAGAAGCTGTTAAGGTATAAACTATAATCACTTTCCCACAACTCTACCAAACGGGGCCTATGTATTATATGCAACTAATGACATTTGTAGTATTGCTAACTATAAATGTTATAATTAAATCTTTTTAGTCATAATTAAAAAAATATTTTTATATATATAACCAAAGGTATAACTAAAGATCTTTTAAATCATAAATAAAATAATATGGGTGTTTAGGAAATTGGTTAGTAGATTATTTAGTTTTAGCTATTTTAGTAGGTTAAATTTTTTGTATTTGAAAAAATAATTGAATTTTTTTTAATTAGATGTAATGTTTGTGAGAAAAATATCACAATAAATTATTGTAACATAGAATACTTTCATTTGTAGACATAATTTCATTGTGCCAAACACCCCCAATATCATAATTAACATTAAAATAAATTATAACTAATATTGCAATTAATCATAACTAATATCATAATATGTCATAACAAAATATCACAAAAATCATAACATAGAATGCTTTCATTTGTAGATATACTTTTTTTTTAATATTTTATTGTATGTAATTTAAAGTTGATTTATAGTGGCCTCGTTTGGGAAGTGACTTTTTTAATAGGCTATTTTAGTTTTTAGCTATTTTAAGTAGGTTAAAATTTTTGTGTTTGGGAAGATGATTGGATTTTTTTGTGGTTGGATGTAATGTTTGTAAGAGAAAAAGTGAAATGATTATGGGTTTGATGTGATATTTTGTCTTATTAGCTATTTTAGCCTATTCTGTTTTTTTGTGATTTTTAGCCTAAATTTGGCTATTTTTTTTCTGCCCAAACACCTCCACTGTATAATTGAGATTTGGCTTCATTTGGCTATATGGGTTGAGTTGGATTGGGATTGAGGCCTTATTTGCCAAGTAATAATTTTAGATTAAAAGTTAAAAAGTTATTAAAAAAATCAAAAAATCTATAATCGATATTAAAAAGTTAAAGATTTTATTTTATCTCTATTTTTTGCACATCTTTTTCATAAAAAATCAAAAATTCATTATAAACATACAAGTTTTTTTTACTTTTTATTTTAGCCAAAAAGTTAATAAAATAGTATGTTTTCAAACGAAACCTAAATTATCTACTAAAAAATAAAATACATTAAAAAGTTAATAAGATAAAATGTCATATTTAAATTATAATTATTTAATTTTTTTCATAAAAGTCAAAAAAATAAAAAATAGTCCAAACGAACTTTTTAATCACAAATTAAAAAAATTTAAACTCAAAAAAGCCAACTAAATTTTTAGTTGATTTTTTTGAATTGAGACTTTTTTAACTTGATAGTAAAAAGTTTGTTTGGATTCTTTTTTTTTTACTTTTATAAAGAAATGAACTGGTTATAATTTGAAAGTGATATTTTATTTTATTTATCTATTTAATCTATTTTATTTTTTATGTTTTTTTAATTTCAAAAACCTTTAGCAAAGTGAAGCCTAAAAGAATTTTGGCCAAACAAGAATTTATTTACCAAAAAAAAAAAAAATTAAAAACCCACCCGTTGCAGAGTAAAAGACGAAGCTATTTTTCGTCTTCTGATTCTGACCCCTATAATGCTCTTTTGAATTCCGCGCCACCATTTCGGCTTCGTCTCCACTGGTCTGCTCTCTCTCTTCTCCACTAGATTCTGCAGACAAAGGTAACCCTATTCTCTCCAATTCTCTACATACCCTTCACTTGTGTTGTGCATGTGTTTGGTCTCCGAGAAAATTACTGAAAAATTCGGATTCAGTGCTGTATTTTGGTTGTTAGTGGCCGTACTGATGTTTCAAATTTCCATTTACTCTTGCGATTTCACACCGATCAAACCGAGTATACTGCGAACTTGTACTCATCTATCTTGCTTACCCCTTGCTATGTCTTTCACTTTTGTGCATATCTTTTTCTAGGGTTTTTTTCCCTTCTTGTTATTATCTAAAACCCTTCACTTCTATTATTTTATCTCTCCTTGTTACTTCAAACTCCTGAAATTTTCCGAATTCAAGATTAATGAATTCAGCAGATAATTGCATGTTTGGAACTGTCTAACTCCAGTCTGGAGACAAAAAATACAAAGAAAAAAAGGGCTTCTGAGCTGCGTTTAATGATTGTTTTTTTTTTTTTTTGATGTGTTATTGTAGGTTAATTGAAGTGAAACTTTGTTGGCATGGCTGATTCGTCAAGGTAAAACATGTTCTGTAAATATATGCACACACATTATGTTGTAGACGTTTGCTGTCGAGCTGGCTATTGCCAGGGGGGGGAAAAAAAAAACACTGCACCCAGTTTAGTCCCCGTTTGATGGGAGTCTGGGAGGAGTAGATTGGGTATAGACCTAACCTTTGGCTATTGCAGAAGAAAACTAATGTTGCACTTCATTTTTTGTGGTCATGTCAACCTCTGAAACATCCCATTTGTTAAATAAACGCTTGCTATTGTATTAAGGTAGTGTGTTATACTTTCGCACATGCAAGTGACATGACTGGAAGCAATTTTTCCTTATCTGGGTTTCTCTGGATAATGAATGGACAGTTGACATCGGGTCAAATATTCTTTTTGGCACATTAAATTAAAAGATTACTGTGGTGTGGCTTTTTAGTGATCTGTGTACTATATGTAGTCCAGTGAATGATAAGTTAGTAGATCCGTCCTATTTTCCCTGCAATAGCAATAGTAGGATTCTCTTGTAGCTCCGTCTCTTGTGTATGTCTCTTTTTTCAGTTAGTACATACAAAAGAGGGAATGATGCCATGCCATACCAGGAAATTTTTATATGCTTGTTTTTTATCGACCACTTTTGTTTCAGATGGTACCTAGGAAAGAGTTCTTACATCATATGGCATGTTTCATATGTTGCACCAAAAATATTGATTGTCTAAAATAATGAAAAAAAATCAGGGATGATTTCGGAAATACACTTCGAGTACTTGTTGCCACGGACTGCCATCTGGGCTATATGGAGAAGGATGAAATACGTCGGCATGATTCATTTCAGGCATTTGAAGAGATATGCTCAATAGCAGAGCAAAAGCAGGTGATGGATTTTTCTTTTTATTTTTGCTTTGATATGGTGGTAGTATCTTTCATATGTATTTATATTTCCAATCTTATGTTTTCCTACTGCTAGTTATTCTCATTCTTCTCTGCATGCATCTCCTTGCCCACAGTTGCAGCCCGTAGCTGTTAGATGAAATCCTCTTAAAATGCCTGATTCTATTAATTCTTTGCTTTCCCCTTATTTCTTCTTCATCGCGACAAGCTTGTTCTTATACTCTAGGTGCATGTTCTGATGTACCTAAATCTAAGTTCAATGAGTTTTCTCGGCACAACTTGTTTCATTTGGACAAGCTTGTTCTTATTTTCTTAGTGAGGACAGGTTCTTATGTGTCTAAATCTAAGTTCAATGAGTATGAAGAGCGTTGAAATGATTTCTACTTCATTTTCCAAGCTGATTTCTTACGTAGAACTTGCTGATTATCCACACATTGTGAATATTGCATGGTGCTGTACACTGACTCAAACCTGGCACCAGGTGGATTTCTTGCTCCTTGGCGGTGACCTTTTCCACGAGAATAAGCCCTCAAGGTCAACATTAGTGAAAGCCATTGAGATTCTGCGTCGTCATTGTCTTAGCGATCGACCGGTGCAGTTCCAAGTTGTCAGTGACCAGACAATGAACTTTGCAAACTTGTAATGACTTATTTTGCACTTGATAGAATTTTTGCTTACCATTTTTTTTTTTTGCTCCTTTTATGTCAGGTTGAAATTGATATTCTGATATGGGGTTGCTAAATATTTTTTTGACTTTTTTTTTTTTTTTTAATAAATTTTTTAAAATTATTCTCAGACAGTTTCCCAATCTGTTTAACCCTGCCATGCTGTAACTCATGCAAGAATTTCATCGTCCCGGATAGAGTGCCTGGATTTATGATTGTGTAACTATTTTATTTAGAGTATATTCCATGGTTACTTTTTTTTCAACTGCTCCATTTGAAATTGATATTCTGATATGGGGTTGCTAAATATTTTTTTGACTTTTTTTTTTTTTTTTAATAAATTTTTTAAAATTATTCTCAGACAGTTTCCCAATCTGTTTAACCCTGCCATGCTGTAACTTATGCAAGAATTTCATTGTCCTGGATAGAGTGCCTGGATTTATGATTGTGTAACTATTTTATTTAGAGTATATTCCATGGTTACTTTTTTTTCAACTGCTCCATTTGAAATTTGGGGAAATTTATAAGCTTAACCCCTCCCCCTCTGCCCCCATTCTTCCCCTTCCCCTCCCTGGATTTAATTTGTGTATAAACTTGTTTAAAATGTTTTTTAATTTCTTTAGTTCTGTAACTGTTTCAAAAGAAAAAGAACAAGAGAACCCCAAGGGGTTGGCATAATGGCAAGGCCTTGGATCTTGGGGGTGTGCTCCCTCCAAGGTTCAGGGATCAAAACCTCTTAAGTGCTAACAATTCCTTGGGGCAATCGGACTGGGGAAAAATCCATGAATTAACCATGGTGCATTTGTGGAAAACTCCTTGTTGAGGGCCTGTGCACCCTTGGGGATTAGTCGGGCTTTGATCCGGACACCCCGGTGCTAATCTAAAAAAAAAAAAAAAAAGGAAAGAAAAAGAGCAAGAAGCTCGCTACAGTGGAAACAGTATGTGTGTGTGTGTGGGGGGGTGCATAGTTGGTCTAGTTGCAGACAGTTGTATGTATACGTTTATATCTTTAGGTAAATGTTTGTGTTAGTATACGCACTTATGTTTGTGTGTGAAATTTTGTCAGTCGTGGGAAAAATTTGGAAGGCACTCTTCACTTTGTAATAGAGTTTTTGATCTTAACAGGTTTGGTCATGTAAATTATGAGGATCCTCACTTCAATGTTGGCTTGCCGGTGTTCAGTATTCATGGAAATCATGATGATCCTGCTGGAGTGGTATGGATTGTGCAATTTTATACTGTATATTTGTTTAGATTGATTTTCCATACTATCTATACTATAAGGCCAAGTTTGGCAAGTTGAAAGAAAGACAAAAAGCCAAAAAGTTACTTAAAAAGTTAAAAAGTTATCACTATTCACCAAAAGTCAAAAATTACGGCTGCACAACTCCCAATTTTAATTTTCCCTTACACACTAATTTATACAATTTTTTAATACACATTTTTCCATAAAAAGTCAAAAAGTTAACCCAAAATCTATATTTTTTTCCTCAATTGTTTAGTCCAAAAAGACAAAAAGTGCACTTATTTAGGACACCCCAAACAACCCGTCATACTTCTTATCCCTCCACTAAATTATACTTATTCTTAAGCTTCAAGAATTCTTATGTGGTTTAAACTAAAAGCTTCAACTTCTTTCAAACACGGGAGTGAATATCATTACAGTGAATAAGGCAAAACCAGAAACTATTCAAGATTCAGTTTGAAATTTTTAATATTGAAAGCAACAAACCTCAGTGTCCAAGTCCTTGCCGTTGTTATCCAATATCAAAAGCGACAAACTTCTTTCAGTTTGAAGTACTTTTTGATCAAAACATGATTTCTGACCTACCATATTGAAAAAGTTTTAGTTGGTTGTTTTCTATTCTTGTGACAGGACAACCTTTCTGCAGTTGATATCCTTTCTGCATGCAATCTTGTGAACTATTTTGGGAAAATGGTTCTTGGAGGTTCTGGTGTCGGGCAGATCACTGTCTATCCCATACTCATCAGGAAGGTCTGTCATTAGATCTCATTAACTAGATGTTCTGGATATCGATCATTTAGTAACTTGTATAGAATGTCTTTCATTTTGAATCGCAGGGTTCAACATCTGTAGCTCTGTATGGCCTTGGAAATATTAGAGATGAACGGCTTAATAGAATGTTTCAGGTATTCATTTGGAATAATTGCTTTTTGGACTGTTTGATTACTGGCAGGACTCACATTTTTTTATTTTTGAAACTTCAGACGCCACATGCTGTACAGTGGATGCGACCTGAAGCTCAAGAAGGCTGTCAAGTAACAGACTGGTTCAACATTCTAGTACTTCATCAGAACAGGTTCTATATATTTCTCAGATATGGTATTAAATTGTTCATGAAGAGAGAAGTTCTTTGTTTATCTTGAAAATCAATTAACCTTATAGCTTTCAGGTGCTTTCATGTTCTTTGATGTAAAACTTCAGAACTTCATGTTTCCAGTTACAGATCTTGCTACTTATGTTATTTGCAGAGTGAAGACAAATCCTAAAAATGCCATAAACGAGCATTTTTTGCCACGGTTCATGGACTTCATTGTGTGGGGGCATGAACATGAATGTCTTATTGACCCTCAGGTGCCAATGATGTAGTTGTTTCTTTATCAGTTGAAGTTCTTTTATGGTATCTTATTGAAGGTCTGTTGTGATCTTGACAGGAAGTTCCAGGTATGGGTTTCCACATTACTCAACCAGGTTCTTCTGTGGCAACATCGCTAATTGATGGAGAATCAAAGCCGAAACACGTACTTCTTTTAGAGATCAAGGTTGGGCAATTTTGACAAGAACCATTCTGGCTATTATTTTATTTGTATTTTAATCTTGCAATAGCAGTTGCTTTTTTTTCTTCTTCAATTAATTTTATTAGCTACCTCACTGTTCATTTATTGCAAATCATTTTTATATAGGGAAATCAATATCGTCCAACCAAGATACCTTTAAACTCAGTGAGGCCTTTTGAATATACTGAGGTAAGTCCAGTGTTGTTTATGCTGATCTCAGAAATAACTTCTGTTGACCTACTCAATGTTCATGATGCAGTTAGTATTAAAGGATGAATCCGACATTGATCCTAATGATCAAAATTCAATTCTTGAACATTTGGACAAAGTGGTAAGCCTTTCTTCTGCTTCTTCTTAACATTTCATCCTTGCATTGGCAAGAAATTTCATAAATCCATTAATGTCTGCCATCTTTTTGCTGCTTATGGTGGCATGTTCTGCTGTCAGTGTTCTATTCTTCGCCATATTTGTATTGCAATACCTTTACCTTGTTTTAGGTCAGAAATCTGATAGACAAGTCTAGCCAAAAGGGTACTAACAGTTCAGAGGTCAAGCTTCCATTAGTCCGAGTAAAGGTAATATTTCCTATTTTTGTTTCAAATGCTACCGTAAATGTGATGTTCACATTTGGCATCTCTGAGTTCTCTGCTTGTTCTCAGCATGTCTGTCTGATGCATTTCCTAATCAGCTGTGCTGTTTGATTTGACAGGTTGATTACTCTGGATTTATGACAATAAATCCACAAAGGTTTGGGCAAAAGTATGTGGGGAAGGTATTTTTTTATCATCTAATAATATTGATTAGGAAGAGAAAACTTTTATTTTTCCTTTCTCTTATTTAACTGTTTCTTGATCTTGTAGGTTGCAAATCCCCAGGATATTCTTATATTCTCAAAAGCTTCAAGAAAAGGTCAAAGTGAAGGTATTTTCAGTGCTCTCAACTCTGTTGGCTATTAGATTCTACTTTCTGTTATGGGCTGTTTGGTTCAAGTGGACCATTCAAAGTATGTGTATCTTGTACTTCTGTAGTGGTATGTTTCTTCCTTTAATAAGGCTTGCTTTGCATGTGACACTTTTCTGGTCAAGCACATACTAATTGTCTAAAGGCTTCCCATCTTTTCACTTATTAGGAGTGTTTGGTTTAGCTCTTACATGGTGATGGAATAACATGTGTTTCTTTTTTGGAATGTAGCTAAATTCAATGATTCTGAACGGCTTCGACCGGAAGAATTAAATCAACAAAATATAGAGGCTTTGGTTGCTGAGAATAATTTGGTACTCAATCAAGTTTCATTCTTTTGTTTTTCTTTATTTAATTATTGATAATCAATTCATTTGGTACTTTTCATTACAGTGGAACTCTGGTGTACATGATCATAAATGTGAACAGTTATAGCTTTGAACTATTTCCAGTAGGCAACCATTTTTCCTTCTTTTTTGTTTTTTCTCTTTCTTTTCCGTGAAATATACAGTGACCTCATCAAAGAGGCAGCAAACCTTTATTTGTGGATTTTTTCGCAAATTGTATTTAGGTTCCCAATTATGAATTTTCACCAGCACCATTATGGGTTTCTGGTTTTGTGGAGATATTTTATTTTTTATTTTACGATCTTTTCAGTTCACTGGATCATATGGAAAGTTGGATGTATAATAATTGGAAATGAGAACAGAGAAGTTCATGAGATCAGAATTCTGAACTAAGATGATATCATATAATACATATATATTCATTTTAGTTGTGTGCGTTATTGATGGCCAATTTTACAGAAAATGGAGATTCTTCCAGTTAATGATTTGGATGTTGCATTACACAACTTTGTTAACAAGGACGACAAAATGGCTTTCTATTCTTGCTTGCAGTATAATCTTGAAGAAACACGTGTAAGTATTCCACCTTCTCAAGTTGCTGTGAGAAACGTGTAGGAAGTCTATGATGATATTAACTTACAACAGGCATCTGGCTCGTGAATTATAATGGATAAATATTGCTATGATTTTTTGATTGTTTGTGCATGTATCACATGCCTATAGATATTGAATTTGTTTGCTAATGACTAGATTACTTTTCTGCTTTGCAGAATAAAATTGCTCGGGATGCAGATACTCTGAAGGTTGAAGAGGAAGATCTGATTCTCAAAGTTGGGGAATACTTAGAGGCAAGAAGCTGAATTTTTGTTTTTTTTGTTGCATAGGAGAAGTCATCCTCTCTTTCTCTCTACACCGAGCTACCTTTTCCCGTTTGACCACAGCCTTTTTTTATTTACATCTTTTCAGATTTTGTATGCATTTATACAATTTTTTCCCCCTCTGCCCTAATGTTACTTTGGCATCACATGGGCATTTTGCGAGGAAGGGCTGCATAGGCGCCCCAACCATGCAAGAGTTATCTGTAATAGTGACAGTGGATATTTGCAGGAACGTGTGAAGGCAAGGTCAGTGCGTTCTAAGGAACCTGCACAGTTCACTTCTAGTGCACAGTCCTTAGAGGTAATTCTTCCACCTTTATCCTGCTGTGCAGAACTTGCACGGGTGATCTCTGTGCCAGTGGCAAATTTCCATCCATTATATTTGGTTGTCCCACAAGTAGACATGTATCTATATTGAGAATGTTTATTTTTTATTATATCCAGGACATTATGAGTAAAAGTGCTGGAGGAATTGGAAGTGCGGTTTCCTTCAGTGATGATGAGGATACTGCTCCATTCTCAAGTTCGAAGTCTACTGCTAGAGGCAAGAAAGGTTCATCGGTACCTTTCAGGTCCTCCCATGATACTCCAGAAGTGGGTAAGACTTCTTCGAGAGGAAGAGGAAGAGGCAGGGGCAGAGGTAGGGGTTCTAGCAACTTAAAGCAGACAACTCTTGATGCAGCCATTGGGTTCCGCCAATCACAGAGGTTGACTATGTTTCTATCACGTTCCCAATATTTTTGTTGCTTGCTCATTGCGGATATGAATTGAAAAATACGGCTTTATCTTTGCTGAATAGATCCCTTTTGTTCCTCTGGGAGCTCTTCATGATGGTATAATTACTTGTCACCATACAAGTTTTATACACCATATTATGATGGATAAAAGTCAGAACACTATATGTAGTTTTAATCCAAATTCAACACCAGAGATCTCAAATGGTTTCAACATATGATTTAAGCAATGGAGTCTAATCATTTTTGCATCCATTTAATCAAGTTCTGTTTTACATGGACTTGTTGGTTTAGGGCAAAGTACCCGTGTCGACATGACACGACATGGGTGTGGGTGTGAGATCTGTGTCAGATTCGGCATGGTTTTCTCGGACACGGCTAACATGAGAGGAGTGAAGAAAGATTATTGAGAAACTTACAAGTTACAGTGGAGAAGGAAGAGAATCTGGTAAAGGAAGCGATCGCCATTGCCATCTCGATCTTTTATTCTCACTAGCGATCTCAATCTCTCTTCTTCACTTTGTCGGTCTCTCAATCTTCTTCTCGCTATCGATTGATCCTCTTCTCTTTGTCGATCGATCTTCTTCTCTCTCTCTCTCTCAATCTTCCTCTCGTTGGCTGTCTCTCTGTCTGTGTCTATCCATCTTCTACTCTCTCTCATTTTCTCTCTCTTCTTCACTTCTCTTTTTCTGACTCTACTTATCTCATTTATAACACACACACATGTTAGAATTTACCATCACCTACCACCACTACCACCTCACCTACTCCACTAAACCTAACCCACTACACCACTACCACCTCACCTACTCCACTAAACCTAACCCACTACACCACTATCACCATCCACTACACACCATCCACTACACCTACATCTATATAAGGAACCATTTGTAATAGACCGAATATGCATCAACACAACAATCAATAATACATAAATTTTTACATGGTATCAGAGCAAGGTTAAGAACCTGTTATTTTCGCTTCACCGGCGGGCGGCAGCCTCGCCTTGGCTGCCCGCCGGACCTCTCATCTTCCAACTCTTTCTGCATGACTTCCATCACAGTGAAGGCACAAGCCCTGTTCAGATCAACCTTGCCAGTTTCAATCATCACCTTCAGCCTCACCCACTCCTTGAATTTCTCAATGCCCAACAAAAACTGCATGATGGACCCTTCGGAGAGGTTCTGAAATCTGCCCAGGAAGCAATAGTTTTGCCTCCATGGGTTGCTCTTGCTATTCGGTTGAGGCCCGGTGTCTGGGAATACATCCGAGTGAATATTAATGCCCTTGTTGTTGAGGAGTTGAGCGTCCCGGAGTATCTTCATTTCAAAGAAGAACTTGTTGAAGGACCTCGCAATGGCAACTTTGTTCTTGAGTTGGATTTCCTCAACAGGCACCTCTCTGCAAAAATGTTCCATGACAAGGAAAGCATGCTACCTCCATTATTTCCAACCCACAGGCTGCTCTCTCTCTCTTTTCTCTCTCTCTCTCTCTCGGTCTGAACAACCAACAATGCCGTCGCCGGAACTCCACGGCCACCGCCAAAAGAACCACCAACAGAGGCGGAGGCCGCCAGCGACGCCTCCGACACAATCACATCTCCGCCGACACCCGGCTTCACCGGCTGTAGCACTAGTTGAAGTTTGATCCAGCGATTGACTGGGTACCTCACCATTTTCCCCTGCAATGCGCTCTTCACATTCTTTGATCAAGTTGGTGAATCTCAAATCTCACTTGACCGATTTCTCTCTCTCTCTATGAGAGCCATGTTTGTTTAAAAGCAAAAAACACAAAAACAAGTGTGAGTGGATCTGACACTCCACTTCCTTTTCCTTTCCTCACCAAACCAGCTTTCACACTTGCACCCACGTGATTTTCTTTTATCTATTTCTTTTAATTTTTAATTCCTTCCCTTCTCCAATAAAATAATTCTTCCACAGAACTCCCACAGAGGCCTATATGTCACACACCCACCTTTCTTTTTATTATTTTATCACACAAGGGAGACAGCCCCATGTGAACCATTCACACGGTTTTCACTTCCCCAAACAAAAAAAATTAAATAAATAAATAAATAAATAAAATAAAATACCATAAAACAACAAAGCACAATACACTCATTTTATTCATATCGGGATCAACCTCGATCCACATTTTACACAAAAAAAAAAAAAAAAAAAAAAAAAAAAACACGAAGATCTGATTCTCAAAGTTGGGGAATACTTAGAGGCAAGAAGCTGAATTTTTGTTTTTTTTGTTGCATAGGAGAAGTCATCCTCTCTTTCTCTCTACACCGAGCTACCTTTTCCCGTTTGACCACAGCCTTTTTTTATTTACATCTTTTCAGATTTTGTATGCATTTATACAATTTTTTCCCCCTCTGCCCTAATGTTACTTTGGCATCACATGGGCATTTTGCGAGGAAGGGCTGCATAGGCGCCCCAACCATGCAAGAGTTATCTGTAATAGTGACAGTGGATATTTGCAGGAACGTGTGAAGGCAAGGTCAGTGCGTTCTAAGGAACCTGCACAGTTCACTTCTAGTGCACAGTCCTTAGAGGTAATTATTCCACCTTTATCCTGCTGTGCAGAACTTGCACGGGTGATCTCTGTGCCAGTGGCAAATTTCCATCCATTATATTTGGTTGTCCCACAAGTAGACATGTATCTATATTGAGAATGCTTATTTTTTATTATATCCAGGACATTATGAGTAAAAGTGCTGGAGGAATTGGAAGTGCGGTTTCCTTCAGTGATGATGAGGATACTGCTCCATTCTCAAGTTCGAAGTCTACTGCTAGAGGCAAGAAAGGTTCATCGATACCTTTCAGGTCCTCCCATGACACTCCAGAAGTGGGTAAGACTTCTTCGAGAGGAAGAGGAAGAGGCAGGGGCAGAGGTAGGGGTTCTAGCAACTTAAAGCAGACAACTCTTGATGCAGCCATTGGGTTCCGCCAATCACAGAGGTTGACTATGTTTCTATCACGTTCCCAATATTTTTGTTGCTTGCTCATTGTGGATATAAATTGAAAAATACGGCTTTATCTTTGCTGAATAGATCCCTTTTGTTCCTCTGGGAGCTCTTCATGATGGTATAATTACTTGTCACCATACAAGTTTTATACACCATATTATGATGGATAAAAGTCAGAACACTTCTATATGTAGTTTTAATCCAAATTCAACACCAGAGATCTCAAATGGTTTCAACATATGATTTAAGCAATGGAATCTAATCATTTTTGCATCCATTTAATCAAGTTCTGTTTTACATGGACTCGTTGGTTTAGGGCAAAGTACCCGTGTCGACATGACACGACATGGGTGTGGGTGTCAGATCTGTGTCAGATTCGGCATGGTTTTCTCGGACACGGCTAACATGAGAGGAGTGAAGAAGGATTATTGAGAAACTTACAAGTTACAGTGGAGAAGGAAGAGAATCTAGTAAAGGAAGCGATCGCCATTGCCATCTCGATCTTTTATTCTCACTAGCGATCTCAATCTCTCTTCTTCTCTTTGTCGGTCTCTCAGTCTTCTTCTCGCTATCGATTGATCTTCTTCTCTCTGTCGATCGATCTTCTTCTCTCTCTCTCTCTCTCTCTCTCTCAATCTTCCTCTCGTTGGCTGTCTCTCTGTCTGTCTATCCATCTTCTACTCTCTCTCTCTCTCTCATTTTCTCTCTTCTTCACTTCTCTTTTTCTGACTCTACTTATCTCATTTATAACACACACATATATATAATATCATTTAAAACAAAAGTTTATATACATAAATTTAAAATATTTTTATTAAATATTTTATTTCTTATTTGTATGATATGTAAGACCTACAAAATATGATAATGCCAATAAAAAATAAAATATTAAGAATTTCTAGTATTACTCATATAAATAATGTATATACATTCTATTTTTTAATTTTATATTGTGATTTTTTTATATTTATATACAAAATAAATAAAAAATTATTATATTTATATAGAATTCATTTATATCTGTGTCTTCTACGATAAAATTTAATGGTAATAAAGAAAATTATTATATTTATATACAAAACTAAATACAAAAATATTTTTTTACTTGGGGTTGATTTGGGAACGTAAAAAATTAGTAAAAATATTTAAAAGACTATTAATATTTCATATGCCGTGTCCCTGCATCCATATATATTTTTTGGATACTTTTTAGCCGAGTCCCTGTATCCTTTTTTTTATGAATTGGCGTATCTGACACCTAGATGCATACCCGTATCCAACACCCGCACCCGAGTCTGTGTAACATAGATCAAGTTTACTGATTTCCAATCTGATCTTTTACGAATACAACATAATTGTGTCCACACTTTTGTGTGTTTGTCAGCATTAGCTTTAGCGTTGTTTAAATAGTATTAAGCACCAATTTTCCATGTTATGGATTAGATAACTAATAGGTCCACATTTCTGCCAAGTACTTGAGTAATAAGCTGCAGAAAGATTATGCTTATTCATGATTTGCTAGAGAGAGAATCTAAACAATTTATATAGTATAGACTACTAAAATTTGTACTTGAAGAGTGGTGTTAACGCATTTGTCTTTTTTTCTATGAGACTGCTAATGTTTATTACAAGAAAGCAAAAGTAATTGCCACTCCCTCTCAGCCACTCTCCTCATCATGTGTAACTTTGTTAATGCAGATCTGCATCAGCTGCTGCAACAGCTTCAGTTCAAAGTATCGCTGATGATGAGGATAATGTGGATTCTGGTTCAAGTGATGAAGCAGCGAAAAATGCATTAGATGAGGTCAATGACAGTTCGGTATGGATGCTTGTTTTAATTATTTTGTTTCATGCACCAAGTTGGCTGTATGAGTTAACACTACAAACACATGTTAGAATTGAACTAATGAAAATACTCAATGCTCAAATGTGCATTTCGCAGTCCTCTTTTTGTACTTCCATGCATCAGTTTGTGTCTACTATAGTTGAACCACTTACATACTAATCCGTGCATGCACCTCTTTTACCCTTCAGTCTGGTATCCAAAAAGTAGGGTGAACAAGAGAGAATGAGAATTACTTCTGTTATCTTCGTAGTAATCAAATCAATTAAATGTGTAACATGCACACGTTGGTCTAGTTACCTTTTGGTACACCATCTTTTGTATCACAGTTGTTTTGCTTTGAGGTAGCCTTGCTCATGCTAAAAGCCTCTGTTGGACATGAACACTTGTCTCAATATTTAATATATAAAGAGAAATAGAGAATTGTATTATTGATTGATGAATGTTGTATATTATTACAATGATTCATGATTCCTATATATAGAAGAGGGTGAGTGTGTAGTAGGTAAGGAGTAGGTGAAGTGGAGGTGGTAGTGGTGTAGTGGGTTAGGTTTAGTGGAGTAGGTGAGGTGGTAGTGGTGTAGTGGGTTAGGTTTAGTGGAGTAGGTTTAAGTGGGTGAAGTAGGTGATAGGTTTTAGCATACTTGCTACACTTACTAAGTCAAATATTTTATTTTTACTCTTTAAGGACAATGATGGAAGTGTTCGAGGCAAAGGACGCAAAAGAGCTGCTCCAAGGGGAAGGGGTAGAGGTTCTACAACATCTAAGCGGGGAAGAAAGTCAGATAATACTTCATCTTCTATTCATAAAATGCTCGCAAGCAAGGATGATGAAGATGATGATGATGATGATGACATGCCAAGGAGAGTAAACAAGTCTCAAACACGGGTAGGTGATTTTTTTTTTAATTTTTTTTTTATAACAAATATGTTTCTTCTTGTACATGTTCTCTCTAAAGAAATTTTACTGAATGTACGTTATAAAAATGGCTTATATTAATGCTGCTTTATAAATGAAGAACGGAAGTTCCCACATTTTTAAGACTTATCTCAGAAATTGATTTGTTTTTCTTCTTTCTCTGCTGCTACCAACTTTAGCTTGAAAAGCGTACTGCTTTTGTGACGTATGATGTTACTAATAAACTGTCAATAGTAGTAACCTCGTCACTTATGGTTTCATATTGTGAACTGTTATTAGAATGTACTATCTGGAATAGAAATAAATGACTTACCATTTTCTGAGATGATCATATACACACATTGATATGCTTCTTAACTATTGTTTTGTAATTATCATTGCTGGTTATTTTCCGATTGATTTTTCTGAGCCTCCCTAGTCATGTGCCAGCACCAGAATGAGGAAAAAAGAACCTGCAAGTCTAGTGTCACTGTTGAAATTAAAATGAATGAAAGACAAATTCAATGATGATGTTGATGTTGATTTTGCACCTCGAAAATATTAACATGTAGTTTCATGTCCTCTTTAAATTTCTGTTTGGAAAGTGGGATTTTTTTACTTGCAAAATATTTGAAGTTTGACTCGCATGACTACTATTTCTGTGTAGGTAACAAGGAATTATGGTGCTTTAAGAAGGTAACCACCCTGGCGGTTTCATGTTCCTTTTGCATGGTTTTGTATGGATTATAGCGCTTCTGAGGAGTCATTTTCTTTGCGTTTTCTGTGTGATAAGAACAGTATATTGATGTATGTATTTTAGGACTGGGAACAATTTTGTTAAGCATCGATTTATAACATCTGTACACATTTCTCACCAGAGAAACTTGTAAAGAAATAATGTTAATGGCCTGATTGTCGACGTTTTTTTCCAGAGATTTGATGCCTTATTACTTAATGGCAATGCTATGATATTGAGGTTGGTGTATTTGTTATTATGCACTTGCTATGATCAAGTACATGCAGGAGGTAATCATTTTTACAATGGAGATCTGTTAGTTTGATAATGCAATACTGGAGCCGGCTCGGAACATGTTTCCTCTGCGATGCACTTTCTCTTGTTGCTCCGTTCACATTCACATTGCCCTAGGAAAGAAAAGGAAAAAAAAATTGCAGTAATTTAGTTGAAATGTGTGAAGAGGCTGTCCGATTTAGTTATCAACAATGATAGAGATCACTAATTTTGGAGCTCTAAAAGACTACTAATGACATGACACTCAATAAAAAAAGAAAAAAAATACAACACTAAGGCCAAAACATCAAAATTATTCTTGGTGGGGCCTACTGCCACATCATTAGTGATAGTACTAATTAGTGCTCTCACTCATTTTCCTTTAGTTATTGTAAGAATGCCTGAAAGATTGGGGTTAGTTTCCACCGGTGACTACTTATTACTTCGAATTGTGTTGCTAAACTTCAAGTATTCACTAGCTACTCACGTTTGACTAGTTAAAAATTTATTTTATTGGGTTATATATCATGCAGACAAATTATGACTTGTATTTGGCTCATTTAAAGTTTATTTGGGATTATGTAGACATAATAAAATTTTGTTAAGTTTTTAAACTTGGTTTGATAAGTTTTAACTCACTACAAAATTATATTTAAAAAATGAAGTTACTCGAGTTAGCATCGATTAAAATTTGTTTGAAAAATAAGCAATACAAGTTTGAATGCATTTTTTAAGTTCATTAAAGCTTTAAAATAAACTAAGCTTGAACAATATGGACTTGAGTTACAACAAATTACTTCAAACTTAACATAATTTTTGTTTTTGTTTTTTAAATTTTGTGGAGGGATTTTTTTTAAGGAAAATGAGTTGGACCCCTCTCAAGGAGGTACTCCCTTTGATCTCCTCTCTCTCTGATTGGTCAGTTTTTTTTTTTTTTTTCCTTCTCCTCTAATCAGTACCCGCCATGTGTGTGTGGGGTGGTGGGGGTGATGATTGGAGGGAGTCTCAATCACTGCTGATATTTATTTAGGGTAAGGTTTCTTTTCAGTCTTAATGTAGATTGGAGAGGAATATCCGGGCTTGTAGGGTTTATTATGGATTTCATTTTGATGATTCACTTGAGTTACAACAAATTACTTCAAACTTAACATAATTTTTGTTTTTGTTTTTTAAATTTTGTGGAGGGATTTTTTTAAAGGAAAATGAGTTGGACCCCCTCAAAGAGACACCCCCTTTGATTCCCTCTCTCTTCCTTCTCCTCCAATCATTACCCGCTATGTGTGTGTAGGGTGGTGATTGGAGGGGATCTCAATCACTTTCCTTTTTTTAATTAGATCTTCCTGACTATTTGAGCATGGATTTCATCATTTGGTTGGGAGAACACTAACAAATTTTTATTCTTTGAAAGAGATAATGAGTATTGCTGGAGATCAGCAAGTATAAGACACTGGTTCTAATTTTAAAAAATAAAAAATAAAAAACAAAGTTGTAAAATGTTAAAAAAGTAAAAAAATACTACACTTCTAGTTTGGTTTTTTAAAATTACGTTTTAACTGAAGCTAGCACAAGACCCAAAAAAAATTAAAATTAAAATTAAAATTAATATTAAAAAATCAAGTCACCACAAGAAAAGTGATAAATCGGAATATGCAAAGTACTTGATTAGACTAATTATTTTGAATGGAGAATGTATAGTTTGAGCTTTATACAAAAAGAGGAAATATGGCCAGTGAAACTGTGAAGGAAAAAGAAACTCAACAAATTCAGAATTTAAACACAACCCTATCTCTAATAGAAACAGTGTGGAGGAAAATGTATCTCTAGATCACATAAAGTTGGAGACTAACAACCAAAATTTACTCCAACTTCACTAAGTGTATGCCATATAGCTGCTCTGCTCTCTTACCGAAAGTGCACCTTCTGAATTACATTTGTCAAACTTTTCCCTTCGCTTCGGCCACTGATTTTTCCCTGTTCACAGTAAGATATAATACAAGATCCCAAGTGCAACAGAATAATAATGCAAAACTCTCTGGATGAATTAAAAATAGTGTTGGATTATTTGTCAATAACATGATCAATATCATATCTGTGATAAAGTTGTTTGCACTGGAAGATAATTTGAAGACGACTTTTTCGCTAAAACTGAAAGGAAAACATGTAAAATTGAAAAATGGTGCATTACAAAAGGCTCTATTTATTAAAATCCCATATATATATATATATATGATGAATAATGAATGTCCTTTTATTTTATTTATTTTTGGCTAAGCAACAAGAATAGGGACTTAAAAATCTTCCAATAGCAACTCTCCCCAACCCATTCCAAGCTCTCATAGTTTCTGTGTTAGTGAAACAAAATCAAATGTAATGAATGCAACTTCACGAGGTGAAAAATAAGGACTATTTGGTTGAGTCAATATCAAAGAATTATATTCCTAAGTTATATATTCAGCTGGCATGGCCATTTCTCACCCTTTCATTTTATTTTAATGTTTAATAAGTCGTGGAATTCTGTAATTGTGTTCTTCAAATACATGTATATATATTTTTATGGTTCTTTGGCTCTGATTTTTCTTGTTTAAATAAAAATGTTTGTGGACTTAATATGCCAAGTGTTTAGTCTGCTGAACTTATTCAGGATTGAAAACTAAGTAGCAGCTTGAAGGTGAATAGATGGATTAAGTAAATTATATCGAAAACAAGACATGAGAGATCAATTAACTGACAATTGATATACCTTTGGAACAATACTCTTTTGCTTTGTCACTTTCTGAACCTGCTGAAAAGTGCCTCCAGCTCCGGTGTTGGATCTCTGACTCGTAACATTCTCTTTACCATTTCCGAGTCTATTATACTTGTTGACTCCCACTTTGTCATTTACTTTTGTAGCACCAGTCACAGAATCTTGTGCATTGACTCTATGTAGCCTCATGGCTTTAGAATGCACAACCTTGTTAACCTGAAAATTTTATGCACAATTCAGGTGACTAACGATGATTCTGGCGTTAAATTCAAGATTCGTTCATTGCGATTATCAAACCAGGATCCAAATAATTAGCAAGGAAAATTTTTAATGATATGATATCAGCCTGCTTTGGGAACTTATTATTTTAGCCAAAAAGTTACTACCAAAAAGTCAACTATTCTCTCCACTTTTTTGTACATTTTTTTTATAATAAAAAGTCAAAAGGCCAATAAAATAATCAATTCCCAAAACAAGAAGAATGAATTTGAGTAGGGTATTTCGCAAATCACATTTATCATTGAGAAGTAACTAACTCAAACGAGAAATTTTCTCAACATTCATGATTTTTGCCACTAATCCCAAAGTTTAGAATTGCATATAGTAAAATTGTACCATGTTTGCTCATATGTAAGTCAACAGTAATTCAAGATTTCTTCAAGATTTTGCACAAGTTTGGTGTCATTAATCAAAATGTTGCAGCTTCTCACCTTTGATTTTGCAGTTTCCAGGTGGGCTGACTTTGCAGCAGCAATGGTTTTACTTCCACATCCAGATTTAAAAGTCAAATCCCGAGTCTTAGCAGTAGATTCCTTGGACATATTTGACCTTTTTACTTTGTCGCAGTTTGCTTGAGGCGCTTTCATGGCATTTCGATTATTATCAGGTGTTATATCTTTGTTCAGTGATGCACAAAGTGTCGTGTTCTTAACATCATAACCGGGGTGTGAAGAGGAGCCCACACTGGATTTTCCTGAGGAAGATTTACGCCCTTCTAATTGCCTCCCACCAACTATTTCAACCCTCAATGCTTGTCTTGTAACACAACTTTTTCTAAGAGTAACCACCTTTAGAGATGACAAAAGCCCACTCGTGTGACTAACTGTTTGACTAGATACATCCAACAACTTCTGATGTTGTTGCTCACCACTTTCAGATGTAATTGTGCTTGCTGATTTGCTCTCAACTTCCTTAATTGCTGTAGTACTCGAACTGGTTTTTGAATCCCCAAAATTTGATGATGGTTTTGGATAGCTGCAAACTGAATTTACTTTTGATCTAGCATTTCCTTTTCGATTTCCATTGCTTGGTTTGGGTTTTATTTTCTCATTGGAATTCAACCGTGAAGATTTACTGATTAAATTCTTGATTGGGTGATGCTTATTTGATGCAATGCCACAACAATTGCTCTGTCCCCAATCCTTGATTCTGTAGCTTTTGCCTCTTGATCTTGAGACCGAGTGTGGAAGCTTTGGAGAAGATGTTTTGTTTGCATTCCCCTCGCCAACACGAGAAAAGGCAGAAATTAACTGTCGGGAAGAACTTTGATGGAACCTGAATGCCATACATTTAGTCATTCTCATTTAATTGACCACAATTAGAAAACTCCCCCAAAAAAATTTACAATACAGCAAAGGTGAAGTACTTACAAATGACTTATTTTGAACCAATTATCATCACTGCAATGTAACAGAAGAAGATTACACTTGCATTCAAGATGTGGAGTCTTACTATTGACTTACAAGCTACAACAACTTTACAAGAACACATGGAGGAACCATTTTTAGAACCAGTTGTAAAGAAACTCACTTGTCTTTGTAACCAGACGCAGCTTCTAGATCGAGATCTACCCACATGGGAGCTTCGATTTCATCCTGTATATGTGAAAATCAGCAGTAATGTAACACAAGACTCTCTAGGAAATTAATACAAACACAAAAGACACATTTTAGATTCTCACAATTATTGGATTCAAAACAAGATAAAATGCAAATCAGACATGATGAATATTAAAGCAAAAAGGAAGAGAGATGAAGAAGAAAAAAACAATTCATTAAAGGTTGGAAAAGAAAGGGGGAAAAGGGGATCAATAGTATGAGATTAAAGAAAGAAAAAAAAAAGATTCAAAGCAATAATTGATCCCAAGTAGATCAAAACCCAGCTTTAAACATGAACCAAAACCGGCCAAGATCAAGAATCCATAACATATTGAAGTGAATATACCATTCCCAGATAAAAAATTAACCAATCAAGTGGAAAAAAAAAAAAAAAAAAAAAAAAAAAACCCAAAAATTTTTTTTTTTAAAAATCAACTGATATAGAAACTGGCTAGAACTAATAGCTTATTTTGAACCAGTTATCATCATTGTCTTTGTAACTAGACACGACTTCTAGATCGAGATCTACCCACATGGGAGCTTCGATTTCATCCAGAAAAGCGCACTGATTGACTGGTTCAACAATGCTCTTCCTGGGAGGAGCAACTACAGCATCTCTGTTTTCGGCGATTTCTGGGTCTTCTTTACCCATTGAAAGATAGGGTTTATTAGTTTTTCTTGAAACCATTTCAGAGAAAAACAGACTTCAAAGACAAAATCGATGGGCAGAGTTAGAAACGATTATTGATAGATCGATTGAGGGGGTTTGAAGAGCAGCTCTCGAAATCGATCTGCTTCATTGCATTGGATTTTCTCTCGAAACAAACAGGGTAAGCAGAGTTTATTTGACCGTTGAGAAGAATTCAAAAAGTTGGTTGTAATAACAATTAAAGATAAACTAGTGGGAATAAAACTTACCAAAGCGGGGATAGCTCAGTTGGGAGAGCGTCAGACTGAAGATCTGAAGGTCGCGTGTTCGATCCACGCTCACCGCATTTCTATCTATTTTTTTTATTTTCCTATCAAATAAATGACCACCCAGTATATTTCATGTCAGACATTTGGTCATTTGTTTGGTAGAAAATTTGGTCATTTGTTTGGTAATTTGGTGTCCCTAGCATTACCCAAATGAGAATTGTCAGCTTTTTTGGTTCTATTTTCTCAAAAAAAAATTCCAAAAAAATTTACTTTCTTATTTTTAGTATTTTTTTTTGTTTTTACAAAATTTTTTTAATATTTTAAATAATTTTTTTACTTTTTAAACACACCTAACATCAATACATTTTACTTACCCAAAAAAACATCAATACATCTAAAAAGTAAAAAAAAAAAATTTAAAAATTTACTAAATACCAAAAATACAAAAAAAAAATTACAAGAATTCAATATATTTTTTGTATTTTTATGTATTTATGAAATTTTTAAAATATTTTTTTACAAATTTTTTATTTTTTAGATACATCTAAGTAATGTGCATCTAAAAAAGTAAAAAAATATTTAAAATTTAAAAAATATTCACTAAAAACAAAAAAAATATAAAAAATCAAAAAATTTAATTTTCAAAAAATTTAATTCAGAAAACTCAAACCAAACACGCTTATATTTTTATTTTTCCAATTAAATGAGTCAGAAAAATTGTGGATAGAAGGATATGAGTTGGAGATTTTAAAAATCTTTTGGAGCCTTCTGATTGGTTGATGAGAGTTGGTATGAGTCACCACCACAACTTCCCAATCATGCAATCTTGACCACCCATCTTTGATTCTCACCTCCTTCACTCATATATACCACTTCTTTCTCTTCTCCCCACTTGAAGATTTGCAATTCTCATTAAAACAGTTTACTACAGAATCATCAATTCTAAGCTTTCAGAAACAAAAGCATGGCTTCAATGTTAATGGCAGCTACTGCAAGCACTAGCACTGCCCTCAGACCAACCCCTTTTCTGGGTCAAACCAGGGGACCTAATGCCAACCCTCTTAGAGATGTTGTCTCTATGGGCACTGGCAAATTCACCATGGTACCTCTCTCTCCCTCTCTCTCTGTGTTTGGTTATGTTTCTGTTTTTTATTTTCATTTTCGGGATATAAAACTTGTTTGGCGTACTATTTCTGAAAACAATTTTCAAAATTTTTTTTGTAAAAGCAAGCCACTTTTTTAGGACATAGCAAAAAGTTACTTTTGAATCTGTTTTCGCATAAAAATGAAAACGATGGAAGTTCAAGCTTTTCATTGTTTTTGTTTTTGAAAATACGAAAAAAAATGAAAACAAAAACGAAGGAAATGAGAATTGGACCAAATAGGCCATTGAAGATGTGGATTAATGGTTGTGCATTGAATAGGGGAATGAATTATGGTATGGACCGGACCGACTGAAGTACTTGGGACCCTTTTCAGCTCAGACTCCGTCGTACCTCACCGGAGAATTTCCCGGCGATTATGGATGGGACACTGCTGGTTTGTCTGCTGATCCTGAGGCCTTTGCCAGGAACAGAGCTCTTGAGGTAATTTGCAGTTTTTTTGTTTTTTAAATTTTTTCATAATTTTGTATGACTAATCTATGTAATTTTTTCATAATTTTCGTAATGATTATTTTAAAATAAGAAATCAATCATGATTATTCACATATACAGTGATATAGAAACTTGAATTAATTATGTTTTGGTCATTATGGGAAGATTAGGACACTTCTAATATGAATTATGTATCCAATACGCAATGAAAAATGTAAAAGTGCACTCAAGAAAGTGTTGGGAAAATAAAATATACAGTTTAAATTTGAATTTGGTATAGTGTAAGTCATATTAAAAATTAATTTGGTCCAAGTGTTTTATTCTGAACAATTTTTTAATAGTTTTTCATTGTTGTAAATTATAATGGAAAGCAGGTAGACATTTGCTATTGGATTGTAAATTAGTCTTAATAGAAACCATATTCACCAAAAATATAAATAAATCAATATTAGCAAATAGATGGTTAACCAACACTTCTTTTGAATCATCATAATCTCAGGTTTGTGGAGAAAAAAAGATAAGAAAATAAAATGAAGTTGCAGCATTTTTTTTTTAATTAGAAAATTGAGAAACCTATGGGGGAAAAAATGTAAAAGTAATTCTATTTCCTTTTCATTTTATTTTCCTTTAAAAAAATTTAAGATTCAAACATAATCTAATCATATAACGATTTTCAGGTCATCCACGGGCGATGGGCCATGCTCGGAGCCCTAGGCTGCATCACCCCAGAAGTCCTTCAGAAATGGGTACGGGTGGCCTTCAAAGAGCCAGTATGGTTCAAAGCCGGAGCCCAAATTTTCTCCGAAGGTGGCCTAGACTACTTGGGCAACCCTAACCTAGTACATGCCCAAAGCATCCTCGCCGTGCTGGGCTTCCAAGTTGTTCTAATGGGCCTCGTTGAGGGCTTCCGCATCAATGGCCTCCCCGGAGTAGGAGAGGGAAACAATCTCTACCCCGGTGGCCAATACTTTGACCCATTGGGTCTTGCCGATGACCCGGTCACCTTTGCCGAGCTCAAAGTGAAGGAGATCAAGAATGGGAGGCTAGCTATGTTCTCAATGTTTGGGTTCTTTGTCCAAGCAATTGTGACTGGGAAGGGCCCACTTGAGAACCTCTTGGACCACCTTGAAAACCCTGTGGCTAACAATGCTTGGGTCTATGCCAACAAGTTTGTGCCTGGGTCATAAGTTCATTGAGAATGGGTTGATTGTGTAGATAGCTTGTGTTGTGCAATTATGTACTATGGATTTGGTGGTGTTGCTAGTTTTGATTATGATGAATTACCTAATTGGTGTTGAGATGACAAAAATCGAAGAGAATGAATGAGAATTTTATTTTCAAAAATCGCATTATTTATAATAAAATTAGTGTCAACATTATTCAAATGTTTGAGTTAGTTAAGAATTCTACAGAAAAATTTGATAAAATTTTCAATAGTATATGTCCATCTCTTTTATTATTATTATTATTATTCACATTTTCAATCCCCCAATTCCTACCATCATAACCAAGTTAAAATAACATTCGTATTCCATGTTGATAATAGTTGTTGGGTTTGTAAAACCTGATACATTTCACCATGTGGACCAAAAGGAAAGTTTAAGAGGTCGTGCCCCCAATGCGAATTGTACTAAACGTATTATAGTAATTTGTTGATGTCAAACCCTAACATATTGTTGTCGTTACAACAGCTACATTGTACTCTTCTTTCAAAGTAAAACTGATGTGAGTCATAAGGCGAGTAATTTGTCAAACCTTGTAAATTTGTAAACTTCCAAGTACTGTTAAACGCACATATTTAACACAAACCTTGCTGGAGAATGTAAGAAATAACAGCTTTTGTATAAAAGTTTCAATATACATCCTATAAATCAGTCAATAATATACAATTTACACTTAAGAAGAACATTTCTCTTCCATGTTCTCAGTACCAACTTCTAGACAACAACCTATTCACAGACTCTACAATGAGGTGAATCTTGAACCCTTTTGGCTATACACAAGCTTGTAAATCCTTCCACCATGTAATAGAGATTGGCATGACATAAAAACACAAGAATGTTCTGGAAGGTAGGGTTTCAACAACATTTATTTTTCGAGGGTACTACACTACTCTTGTTGTCTATGTCCACACCCACAATAAGATGATGTGTATAATCTAAAGCTAATTCTACATAAATCTCAAGCTTTTGAATCCCCACCAACCTTTTCCCCCTTCAGAATACCCAAGTTTGGTTATTTTTGCTTTTGCCTCTCTTAACTGAGACTTGTACTCATTCTTCCACGTCTCGAACTTGAGTCTCAGCTTCCGAAGCTCATCGTGAGGAGACCCTAATTTGACAACGGCTTTGGCCTCATCATTGAAATCCTGCTTCTTCTGCTCAAACTCCTTTGTCAGATGAGCGACAACCTTCAAAGCATCATTAGTCTCTGGTACTTCAACATTTTTAGAAGACTTGATGGGGGTGTCTCCACCGGGAGTTTGTGCTCCCATGTACATGGCATCCTCGGAATCGTAATTGCGGGGTGAAGGGGAACCATCTAGCCTCCCGAGTTGACCTGCCGTGATGGCAGCAGAGAAACTCTTCTTTGCTGCATCCAGATTTGCCTGAAGAAGATATTACAATGGTTGTATTTAGTCACGTCAGAAATTCGATTGCGTACAACAGGATTCCCAAATGGTCTGAGGTAGCTAATACAAAAGCACTACTTTTTTTTCCCTCACAGATTAGATTAGCAAGCTTTACAAAATAGATGGTTGAAACACAACTGCATCTATATGTTGTCATTCTCAGCTAAAGACACATTATAAACATCAGATATTCTTCTCTCTTCTCAGAATTCAATTTCCATCGTGTTTTAAAGATTTTTTTCTGATTTTTAGCATCGCACAATAGTCCAGGAAGCAACAGAAACAAATCATGACTGTGCTAAAAGAGGATTAACAGCCTATGTGCTAGTTAGAGATCAGCTAACACCATGTCAATGTAAATGTAACAGAAAATCTCCATATCACTTGACTGTTATTGGTTGCTATTAAGTCCTAATTCCTCTTTGTTTGCTTGGTCCTAGTTCTAGAATAGCTCGTAATTCTTTCATTGTTTCCTTACAAATTTAGCTAAATGTGTTTTCACATGTCCCATGACACATGATAATATATGTTCACATCTGTCCACACGTGTAATGTCAGTCATGAAAAATGATCAAGATCCACCATCGATGGTTCCTATCCAATAGTCCAGTGACCAATTTAATGAGTGAGTTACAATCATCCAATTTACTTCTCTTTCCAAATTTTTACTCTCTCCCAGTATTAATATTTTAATTTGGCTGACTAACAATATATATATATATATATATATGTACACAGTGCCAACCGTTTACGTATTTATAAACATGCAAACTTACTTGCAAAGATTCAATCTGATTCTTCCACATCTCCTCCATCGATTTCATCTTTGCAAAAATGATCAAGATCCACCATCGATGGCTCCTATCCAATAGTCCAGTGACCAATTTAATGAGTGAGTTACAATCATCCAATTTACTTCTCTTTTCAAATTTTTACTCTCTCCCAGTATTAATATTTTCATTTGGCTGACTAACAATATATATATATATATATGTACACAGTGCCAACCGTTTACGTATTTATAAACATGCAAACTTACTTGCAAAGATTCAATCTGATTCTTCCACATCTCCTCCATCGATTTCATCTTTGCCTCATGCTCTGACCATTTTGCCTCAAATTGATCTAGCTGCTCCAGTAATGCATCATTTTCCTGCTCCTTTTGCTCTAGAGTAGCTTCTGCCTTCGACATGCGCCGTTGAAGCTCTTCTAGAACTGCAGGCAGAACAATACCATCCTCTTGCAACACCTCCTGCTAAATGTCCAAAACATTTACAAAACATTAACATTACTTGATTTTCCATTCATAACCATGTTCTTAACTTAAATTTTTATACTCAGAAGATGTATGTGCATGTGGCTGTCTGCAATCAATACTAATAAGTAATGAAAAGGGGGAGAAACTTTCAGAGTAATGGGTGCATCTTAATGAGTACCTTAACTTCTGAAATCTTGCTCCTTTGCCTTCGTTTTGCCTTGTCAGCATTTGACTTTTTCAATCTCTGCAGGTGAATAAAATGCCTTTGGGCTGACCACCCACGAATTACTGCAGAAACAAAACACAAGGATTTAGTATAAAACTAAGCAATTAAACAGCCAGAGACTTGTCCAATGAATACCATGAATTTTACCAGATTGTAAATGGATGATCGCCCTCCTCTGTTTTTCAAGTGTCTTGAGAGCAGCCTGATCTCTCATGTTTTTCAACAAACCATACTCCCTTCTATAATTTTCACCACGGATAACTACAAAATTAAAAAACATTTATTAAATAATTGAAACCTGTGTGATTGTAAAATACATAAAAGGCGGAGGCTCTTTTGAATCAATAGAATCCATATAACTGAAAGATATAGACTCCAACCCAAGATAAGTAGGTCCATTTGGAACTTCTAAGCCTAAACATGTTTCAAGACACAGATCCTGAAGAGATTCTACATTACAACCTTTTATTTTCCTAGAATGGAGCACAGACAAAGCTAAAATAAAAAAAGTAGCAAAATACCCTCTTCTATACAAAACAGCCAAAGAAAATTCATATGCCTTACATGATTGCAGTGCTGTCACTCCTTTCTTGAGTTCATGGAATTGATGACGAACACGTTGACCACGAAATCTTTTCTGCACCTCGAGTGTGCCATGGAGAACTTGTTTTCTTGTATCCTCTAATGCAGCAATCTATTAAACACACCAAAGAAAACCAATGTGCAGGGAAATATTGCTTCAATTAGAAAGAACTATTTTATAGCTTAGCAGGTCAACATAGAATTTGTTTGAAGTTCTGAGTTACCTGTAACTAAATACTACTCCAAAAATTCAAGTAGGCGAATTTCTTAGTCAGGTTTAGAGCAGGATTTCTCCTTCATTCCTTTTTTTTTTTTTGGTTGAAGTTTTTGTTTTTGAAACACAACCCATAATTTCCAGGGCATTTCACGTAATGAAAAAGTCCCATTGATTTTTCTGCCAAAAATAATGTTTCCAGCATGCTAATGAAAATATACCAATTCTGCGACAAATTATACTTCCTAATATTGTTTTCCGGTACAAAGAATACATTTTTAAACTGCAGAAAGATCCTTGATCACCTAAATACCTTCATCCTTTTTAAGTTGAAAACCACAGTTATGATGCAGTAATAGGACTAATAAAGACAACGTTAAGGACCTCTTGAAGATATATATAAACTCACCTGTCCTGTTCTAAAGTACAATTTTGTATAACCAACTTGGTACATATCAGGGAGGATGTCAAATTGCTGCAGTACGGCCACTGATATGCTTAATGGATCCTGACAGGCACGGTGATCCTCTGAAAGTAGGAAACCATATCTTCTGGCAAATTCTTGATGTGTCACTCGAGTAGGATAGCCAGATCTTGAGATCCGGACAACCTCCAGAACTCCGCAACACCTGAGTTGCTCTAAGACAAGATCATTTTCAAACATGCCAGGAAGCTGCTTATTATTTGGTTTAATGCAACGTATGAAGTGTGGTGTGGAGCTCTCCAACTGCTGCATCAATTTAAATAATTGACCCTACAAGCATACCAGAGAGGCAAATTTTATTTTGCATAACATAATTGATGCAATAAAGCATATTCCATTGCACTGAAACACACTATATCTTTTTTATTTTTGTTTTTGTCTGTTTATTATTAATTCTGAGATATTCATGTCATTACAGAAACAAAAAGGACTTGGCCATTTGACCCAAAAACTTGTGTGCACTAAAGAAAGTTTAAAAATAACCACATCAACAAGTAAAAGCTACTACAAGTTCTCGTAATCTTCAAATTTGGTTTCAGAAGAGAGTTACTTGAAATTTATATGACGCAGTAGTTTTAAGCAAGTACAGCTGCATATATACCAAATTCAAAAATAAATAAATAAATAAATAATCAGAAGTATCTACCTTGAATTTTGTGCCAACGCTTTGCTTCTGGGAATCAGAAACACCCATATGGTGGAAAGGGCTGGCTGGTTTCAAAAATTGGTTAAGCATATTGGAGGCAAACAACTGAGGTAGCCGGCAACTGCATGATGAAAGGAGTTGAAGGGTATCAGAGTGCAGTGAATCTCTGTTCTTTTCCAAGAAGCCACTTGTGCCATACAGAACCTAAATAATATTTATAAAAATAAAAAATAAAAACACAGTGTAAGTATTCATACTGCAAAGGTCCAAAGTGCATTTTGAATATCAACTTTATTGTTGCCTCAAGTGCTTTTCCCATTCGTTGGACATTTTCTTAGTAATTACACTAACATCATAATTGAAAAGAGACACCACTTGAGCTGTAAGTTTCCGATTAATTCCAGCTAACCCATATCTAAACGTACCTCTCCAGCATAATGGCGAATACTGAAAGCTCCACCTCTTTCTCCTTTAAAGCAAGGATTGCCATTCAAGTGTTGCTTAAGCTTATTAGCAAAGGTCAAATCAGTGGCCTTGGGGAAATTTGATTCCTCATCCAACAAAGATATTAGCCCTATAGGTTTCTGCAAAATGCATAGCAATGAAGCCATGAATACACAATCCACCACACATGAAAGAGTGACTTGAAATATGAAAATCTATATTTAGGTTTCATATGATAAGATAGTATCAAAGAGATGAGAACTTATTATATAATTAGCGCTTCAATTGACAATTGGGAACCAAAATTTTCCATATTTTATTCTATTTGCAACTTCAGTTTATAATAAACAGTATTACATCAACAAGAACATGGCTTGAATTAGGCAAAGAGGGCTTAAAAACAGAAATACCTTCTCAACGAGATCCAAACAGACTTGGTTGTCTTCAAAATCTACTTTGGTCCAATCAATACCATCCGATTCATATTCCTAGAAACAAAATAAACAAGTTTGAACATTAATATTCTGATATATTTAGTTTGCTACAAGTTCTTTGAAGAGTTTCAAAAAAAATTGTTGTCCTCCTAAATTGACTTCATGAGCAGGAAGAATTTGATACAACCTTGAAATCCACCAGAAGTGTCTTCAACTGTGTTTCCCATTAGGTACATCACATTCATATTCATTTTTGTGGTTCTTTATATACTAAATTCAAGTTGGTCTTTTCTTTTAGAAAAATTTTAAGGGGGGAAAATAAACTAATAGGAAGAAACTCTTGTTAGATAATTTCCTCAAAAAGTAACAGCGTAGATATGAGATGCTCACCTCCTGCTCCAGTTTAAACAGATGCCGATTGAAATGCTGTTGCAGTCTCTCATTCGCATAGTTTATACAAAACTGTTCGAAGCTATTCTTCTGTACATTAGCAGATGAAATTATCCAATGTTAGACAATTGCATTGTGTTTATAGATGTCAATAAACATATAAATACAAATTACAAACCTTAAATGACTCGAAACCATAGATATCCAGGATACTTATGGATCTCCCAGTACACCGTTTTCCCAATGCAAGCAACTTATTAATTCCTTCAACTAGCCAGTCAAACAAGCTTGCATAGATGAATTTCGCCAAAGCATCTCTTGTCTCAATTGCCTGAGTAAAAGAAAATAATGGGTTCCATGTTAGAAGTATGTGGACCAACTACCAAGAATTTGTGTGTGCATGTGAATGTATATGATTAGGCACATATATAATATATGTATCTAATACTATGTATACATTCAGAATCTCAGACACAACATAATTGTGTGTGTGTGTGTGTGTGGGAGAGAGAGAGAGAGAGAGAGAGAGTTATAATATAAATATTTTGCAGACCTTCTGCAACGTTAACTTTTTGGAGAAAATATCCTTCCCAGCTTTGATTCTATGGGTAGATAAAGCTAACATCAGGTCCTCAGTGCTGCAACCCATCAATCTAGCAGCACTGGTAACAGCTGCCAAAAGAAAGAAGAAGAAATAAGCTTTGGTGCTTTAATATAAAGTCCGCATTTTTTTTTTTTCTCCAAAATTTCTCCAAAAAAAAAAAAAAAAAAAAATTGTAATGAATCTGTGCATTATTGACAGGTAGACATGCACAAGAAACATACACAATAAGATTTTTCATTAGTAGTCAAGGTTGAACTCTATATGGCAATCAAAGACAGATTTGCAGGACTCCTTGCCTGGAGGAACATGCACAGTTTTTTACATATATCCAACAAAAGCTGACACTGAAAATTAGTGCAGTACATATTTTTCCACCAAAACAATTCAGTCTTGCACATCTAACTATTTGAAATTATCACCTACAAAACTTGGAAGAAAAGTTTTCCAGAACCCACCTTAGGGTTCATTTGGGAAGAACGTTGGCTTTTTGGCTATTTTAGCCTTGGGCTAAAAAGCCTCATTTAAGATGAGTTTTTTGGTTTTTTTGACTTTTGTGAGAGAAAAATTGTAATGATTATGGGTTGGATGTGATATTTTGTTTTATTGAGTTAAAAAGCTTATTTTGATTTTTTATGACTATTTTAGCCAAAAAGCCTGGGGCTAAAACTTCCCAAACGAAGGCTTAATGAGATGAATGCAGGATTTGTTACTATTTGTTAAAAGCAAAGTGAGGAGCTATTAGAGGGTATGTCTTCAACTTTGCGGTAATTGCATTTCAGTGGGACAGTGAAAGAATAATTGCACTACAGATGGAATCTTCATTGGTGCATGTCTTGACATACAGGAAAGACTTGTGCCATACACCGGAGCGACTTGCACCTCATGAAAATGGGGGGGAAAATATAAAAAAATAAAAAATTCCACTGTCCCACTTATTTGAGATTTCCCCAATAAACATTTAGAATACCAAAATATAGACCTTACCTTCATCAGCCACTACTTCCACATGATTTTCATTGTCAATTACTTGAAATGATATGTTTCCCAGCCATAACACTGCAGCAAGCATTTCAAAGGCATTTTCTTGATCTTCTTTGCTAATTTGAACAGTATCAAAGGCTTCCTGTAAAAAATAAAAAATAAAAATACTTACAGTTAAAATTTCAGTAAATGGAAGACAGAGAGAACCAAGAGAAATTTCAATCTTTAGTGAAGTCAAATGGTTAAGTTACCATAAGCATTTGAAAATTCCGAGCATCATCAACATCATCGATGACCAAGCAGTCACTCTGATTTAGATAATTATACACACTTGCCGTTTTTAGGTTCAGTCTATCTGCAAAAACAAAAAAATATACATGATGCTAAATAAGAGGCCATAAATTCTCTCAGGCTTTAATTTAAAAGCTAATATAGAAAACCCTGCCATATCTGATTAGAAACGCACGGTGGAGAGCTCTAGCTTAAACCAAACCAAGCCTTAAGTCCCATCAAATGGGGTCGGCAAACTAGGATTCATTATCCGGACGGCTTTTTTACGCATTGGTTGTCGGCTACCTAACACACAACTCTCCTCCTTTACCTAGGCTTCGGACCAGCGGAGTTGTTAAACAACCCCAGCAGAGAGCTCTAGCTTCTCAGCAAAAAATATATTTGTGGACCAAAAATCTGTGGTGCAAATTCCAACCATCAAAGTTGCAGCCAGCTGCTATATATATAGCAACACTGCAGGTGGCATAAAAAATCCACCAGTCATGATTTCAGAACTTCATAAAGCTGAAGTCTAATTTGCCCATAAAATATATGAATATATTTAGAGGCTTTAGCTACATTTCAATGACACAACTAATATAGACACTTTCATTGCATCAACAGATGCAATATGAATGCTCATTGCACAAGTGGTGCCACACCAATAGTCACATAACTTGTAACTTTTGGATATCCTGGTATTGGAACCCAACATGTCTATCAAAAGCCATAACTGTAATACCCATTTCTAGTTAAATAGAACTAAAGGCACTGCACAAATGGAATAATTATGGGATGTAATGAACAACCTTTGAGGCTTGATGGAGCACCAGCACAAAGTTGGTAGAAGATATGGTACGACCTTTCTTCATGGGTGAGCTGAACCACTCTTGACTGCTCAAAGAAAGCATGAAAAACTTTCAAAAACAAAACCAAAAAAACAAAAAAAAAAAAAGGAAGACAAAACAAAAACAAAAAAAACAAAAACATCAAAACATGAAAATGACATCAAACAGGCCCTTACCTTTTCGAGCAGAACTATCCACGGTTATTGTAGGAGTTGATGTTTTACAGCAGATTATGCCACAAAATAAATCAAGTTAGTAAACACAATTGAAATGGTGCCACAAGATCAAGTTTGTTTTTAGCAACTTTCCAATGTAAACATGCTTACAGGTCTGGATTTGAGCACCACATATTTTCCCTGTTGAACTAAAATGAATCTCAATCAACTTTCCCTGCACAATATCAGGATCATGTGTGAGTGGGTTGATTTGTATATCTTTTGAAGTATTGTTCAAATCAAGGGGTAGTACTCATCAAGAATGTTTAAATTACAATGCACAATAAATGTAGGAGTGCATCATGTTTGGAAGAAGGGAAGTGGAGGCTGGAACACAGACAGAGAGAGAGAGAGAGACTCACAAATCGGCTAGAGTTGTCATTCCTGGAAGTTTTTGCATTCCCAAATGCTTCCAGTACAGAGCTTGTCTGGAGGATTTCACTTTCTACCCCACCACTGCCACCACCAAGAGCAGCCAGGTATTGCATTGCAACTTTTGCTGTTTCCGTTTTCCCAGCTCCACTTTCCCCACTATAAGATAGATATCAATGATTTCTCAGGGACATGCTATGTAGAATTAGTGAAACACAAAATCTCATGGTATATGAAAACTAAACTATAGAAGAGTGCCACAAAAGGAAAGCAAGGGAAGCATCAATACAGCATCAAGAGGAGAGTCTCCACTTAATGGACCTCGAACACACACAAAAAGGCATTTCAACTAACCTTATGATGATGGATTGGTTTTTTTCATCTGCAAGATCAATGATAAGAGTAAAGTAAGAAATGAATTCTTTAGTAACAAGTATAAATAGATTAATTTCTTTCTCAAATTCCTTCAAGCATGGTTTAACTCACCTCTCATCATCTCATTATAGGCAGTATCTGCTATAGCAAAAACATGAGGCTTGTTAAGAAGCTTCTTCCTATAAGCCGTGACAAAATCCTTTCCATAACATTGGACAGCTTTGAAGGGATTGACTGCTATTAAAACCGGTCCTGCTTTACTCTACAAGAAACAAGCACAAGCATAGGTCAAACAAAAGGAAAAGGGAAACTCAATTTGGTTGGGATGGAAATAAAATGTCATAATTATGCATACATAAATACTATCATGAGAATATCTGTACTGAAGGTTGTGAAGAACTGATGGCTCATTCAAATAACTGAGCTGTATGAGATCATCCACGCCCTCAAGGATGTCTGGATTTGCAGGATGGAGCTCTCCTGTCGACACTTTCACAACCTGTAGTAATAACAAGATGTAAGTAAAAGTGTTTTAAAACAGTTATAAGATTTAAAAAGGCGTGCAGAATTTATGAACTCACAGTTCCATCTAACAGCAAAACAGTTGCTTTTGCCCCTAAAGTTGATTGTATATGTCCCAACTGCCACTGCCCCTTTGGGACCCGACACCAAACACGAAGTTTCTGAAACAAATTATTCATAATGTCAGTGATTGTCAACTAAATGAATAATCTTTAGGAAAAACACATGTACCGTTGTGAGCAATATTGAAAACCAACTACACAAGCAATGGGAAAATATGCTATTGCCGGGGAAAAACCAAACAAAAAATAAAAATAAAATAATCACACAAATTATTGTCCAAGACCTGAACACCTATCCTGTGTCCAATAAAAAATCAAGCACATAGATATAATATTCCTGACACGATTAAAATCGAGACATTTACACATATTGAAAGAGGTACAATATATACAAGGTCTCAAAGAATTTAATTTAAAAAACAAAACAAAACAAAAACAAAAACAAAAACAAACAAACAAACATTCTTTGAAGTGTCCTAATTAATGTGCTTTATAAATCTTTCACAAAGATTCTCATAAAGAAAGAATTGAAGATGAAATAGAGACTATGATTTATAGACTTTTCGCAAAACATAATGAAAGATAAGGGGTTTTAATTGATCGAAAAAGAAGAATATACCCAAGAACTAGTCAAAAACATGATATGGGTGATCAACAATTGAAATCTTGAATGAACATGTTGGTATATCACATAACACAAGCAAGTAAACAGATATGAGAAATGTAACAAAACAACACAATTTGATCAAGGGTTTTTACCTCTAGATGGATATGAGATTAAATCTAATAAAAGAACACAATTTGATAAAGGGTTTTTACCTCTAGACAAAAATGAGATTAAATGTAATAAAACAACACAATTTGATCAAGGTTTTACCTTACCTTTAGACAGAAATGAGAGTAAATGTAATAAAACAACACAATTTGCTCAAGGGTTTTAACATTTAGATATGGAGTTGTTTGGAATGATCTAAATAAGTGTACTTTTGGACTTTTTACGAAAAAACGCGAAATATGGGTTAAGTTTGAAGTGATGTGATAGAGAGATGATGTATTTTAAATAAGATGATGTGACTTAAATAAGATAGTGACTTTTTGACTTTTTAGTTTTTTGGAGTTATGCCAAACTAAGCCTAAATGTTATAAAACAACACAATTTGATCAAAGGTTTTTACCTCTAGACAGAAATGAGATTAGTGTGATAAAAAAATAAATAAATAAAAAAACACAATTTGATCAAGGGTTTTTACCTTTAGACTGAAATTAAATTAAATCTAATAAAAGAACACAATTTGATCAAGGGTTTTTACATTTAGACAGAAATGAGATTAAATGTAATAAAATAACTCAACTTGATCAAGGAAGGGCTTTTAACTTCAGACAGAAATGAGATTAAATGTAACAAAACAACACAAGTTGACCAAGAGTTTGTACCTCTAGACAGATGTGAGATTAAATGTAACAAAACAACACAATTTGATCAAGGATTTTTACCTTCTTAATAAAATAACCAATGTTGTCATCCCACTCAGACTCCCGAAACCTCGGCATCGATGGCAAATGCTCAGTCGCCAAATTTGCACGGTTTGTTTCCTCTAACCTCACTTCACCTTCCTTCTCTTCCGCCACCGTAACATACGGCGATTGATCGGGAAGCTCTCTGTACTTTTTACTCCCAAAACTACAATCCCTAGCTTTTTTAACCTCTTTCTTTTTACTAGATTGTTTAGACAAGTTCGCCGGAGATTCCCCGCCGGCGATCACATCAATGTTCGCCGGCAAGATTATTCTGGCGGAGGGAAGCCGAGCCCTAGAAATCGGCCTCACCGGCAACGCCGGCGGCGAGTCCTCCTGCCGGTCTTCCTTGTCCCTCCGCCGGAGCGTATCCAGCATTTCCTCTAACAAACTCAGAGGCTGCGGCGACACCGATAACATGATTGATTGTATAGTATCTCAGTATCTCAAATTTCAACCGATTGAAATGAGAAAAATTTTATAACAATTAGAGATTTTGAATTAAAAGTGTTTTTTGAAAACAAAACTGCCAAGTATTGTCAAATTTGAGTAATGTATGACGAATTGAGGGGATTTGGATTGAATGAATGAAGTTTGTGATTGTTGTGAATTTAGTGAGTCTATCTATATGAGTTTTTTGAAAGTGTTTTTTGAAAACAAAACTGCCAAGTATGAGCTGTAAAAGGATGGGTATGTGAGTTGATGAAAAACGTTTTGTGAAAACAAGTCTAAATTGGGAGGTTTACACGTCGGAGGATTGATGGATTAATGGCAGAAACAGAAATTATCTCGTTAAAATGAAGCTGGTTGGTTGCTGTGGCTGTTTTTTTACAACAAAGTTACTTCTGTTTTCCAAAAAAACAGACTGGTTTGATAGTTTTGTTTCTTTTATAAAAGTTTACTTGGCTTTTTGATTTTTTGATTTTTTTAGCTATTTTAGCTTGGGCTAAAAATTTTGGTTTGGAAAGGGTTTTTTGGCTTTTTGACTTTTTTGAATTTTTTTGTGAGAAAAGAATGTAATGATTATGGGCTGAATGTGATGTTTTGTTTTTTGTGGCTAAAATAGCCTATTTTGTCTTTTGTGGCTAAAATAGCCAAAAAAAGTCCGAAAAAGTCCTTCCCAAACGGACCCTAAAAATGCAAAATTGTTTATATGATTTTAAAAATTACATCTCACTCATTAAATTTTTTATTTTCTAAAAAATAGTATCTTTTATAAATAAATTATTAAATTAATTAATAATTTTTAATAATATTATAAATTTATTTAAATTAATAATTAAGTTATTTTTATTATTACATAGAAGAATAATGAGAAATTTTATTTTTCCAATAAACCTGTTAAATAAAAAAATCTGACAATGGGACATTTGTAATTTTCTAAACGATATGAAACAATTCGTATTTTAAACAAATATTAAGAGTAGTACTTGTATTTTTTTTTTTACTTATGTTTTTTTGAAAATAATTTTTAAAAAGGATAAATTACACTGACACTCATAAGATTTCTATTTAAAATAGATTCTCTCTGCACGTTTGAAAAAATACACTTATCTCCTGTTAAATTAAAATGACATATTTGTCCCTTAGTCTTTATACATATAAAATAATACTGATATGTTATTATGTCATTTCAAGAGAAATAATAATCATCTTTTTTAGTTTAACTCACACAAAAAAATAATTTTTTTATTTTTCGTGTTTTTTATTTTTATTGATTTTTTTTTATAGTTTAAGTATATTTTTTTATTTTTTAGATGCACCTAATCCATATATACTTGAGAAATATAATATTTTGTGATTTTTTTTTTAAATTCACCAAATACAAAATTACAAAAATTCAGTAATACTGTAATAAATGTGAATGACGGTATTTGATAATGTAGTAATAAATGCGGGTGAATAGACGAGAAAGAAAAATGATGATGGAAATAAAAATAAAAAATTCTATTCGTATATAAAAATTTATACAAAAAATATCATAAAAATATTATGAATCGTGTTTATGAGTGTTTTATTTTAAAGTGAAAAGTCGCCATTAAACTATATCATTGTGTTTGAAAATTTTATATAAAATTTATGTTTGTATATCATCCCTCAATGAGAATATGTTCATGTATAATTTAATAATAGAAATGTAGAATGTAATCATGATGATAAGAAGAAAAAATGGTAGGAAAAATGGTAAAATAGTCATTTAGAAAACTTTAAGACATGACATCAACAATTCAATAGGTAATTTGCAATGAGATTACAAATCTCAAGAAGGAAAATACAAATTTTCAAACGTGAGGAAGAATCTGTATTAAATAAAAATTTCAGGAATATAAGTGTAATTTACCCTTTAAAAAATGAAAAGACTCGTTATTTTATTTTTGTAGGAAACTAGTTCGAGAGAATTTTCAAAATAATTTTTATTATTTACTGAAATTGTTTTTTTAAATTATTTTTTAATGTTTCTTTTAAAATTGTTGTTTTTAAAATATTTTCTCATTAATATTTTTTGAAACTTCATTTTAATAATTTTACTAAAAGGAAAGAAAATAAATCTAGAAACCCGTAAATTAGTCACATAGGTGGGTAAATTTTCAAAATGGGTCATGCTTACAAATTTTATATTTTGTTTTGTATATCTTTACAAAAAATAAATAAAAAATACAACCAAATAAATACATAAATATCTATTATGAATACATAAATTAATCATAGAAAAAGAAATAGAATATAAGCGAATGAACAAGATTTTACAAAGTTTGTTAATAAGAATTCACTTTTAAAATAGAATAGAATCAAAACGAACAAGATCTTACAAAGTTTGTTAATGAGAATTCACTTTTAAAATATTATCTGTGCATATATGTTTTGTGTCTCATTTTATGATCAATTTCTGTTAGTAGACTTATTCAATAAAAGACTCGATTGTAGCCCAAATGATCATAGAGATGGTATTCAAGTGCCATAGTGACATTTTAGTTTCGAGTCTATAAAAAGTTATTGGATTGCATTATAATTTCACTACTAACATACTAATGTTATGTTTATCAAAAAAAATATATATATTCTTGAAACTTGCATGGTCAAGTACAAAAATATTAGAGCTAATGTCTCAAATTCAAATCACTCTATGAGGCTATTAAAGGTTTGTATAAATTTGAATTTTTTTCTGGGTAAGGATTTGTTTGGGAAGTGATTTTTTTAATAATTTTTAAACTTTTTTTAATTAGAATATAAAGTGAAAAAAAATAAAAGTGCTTTATAATAATTTTTTAACAAAAAAAAAACTACAAAATATAGAAAGTTTATATTATATTTTTAATTTTTGAATAAATTAACCTGTTGCGAAACGACAGGTCAATATATTTGTTGAGATTCATCTGATAGGGAACAGAATCTAATAATTTAATGTAACAGGATTTGTTTGGGAAGTGATTTTTTTAGTAATTTTTAAACTTTTTTTAATTAGAATATAAAGTGAAAAAAAATAAAAGTGCTTTATAATAATTTTTTAACAAAAAAAAAAACTACAAAATATAGAAAGTTTATATTACATTTTTAATTTTTGAATAAATTAACCTGTTGCGAAACGACCGGTCAATATATTTGTTGAGATTCATCTGATAGGGAACAGAATCTAATAATTTAATGTAACAAATGTGGATAATAAAATAAAGTAAAATTGGGGGCCCGAATCTAATAACGGGCACAAACACAAGTACTCCGGAACTAGACCAAATGGCGGGAATCCCAGACTAGCAGACTTGTGTGAAATTACTTTCCTAGTTTCTGAATGGATTATTTTAATAATTTTTAATTTTTTAATTAAAATATAAAATAAAAAATAATAGATTTTAGATAATTTTTTAATGTTTTACAAAAATATATATAAAAAATAGAGGAAAAATTATTTTTGTGACATTTTTATATAATTCGTTAATTTTTTGACTTTTAATAACTTTTTAATTTTTAAACTAAAAAATAATATCCCTAAGGAGGCCAGACATGCCAAATATCCATTTTCTATTTGTTTTGGCAATAAATTATTAATACACCCATGAAGTTTTTTTTGAAAATTACAAAACCCATTCACCCGGGAAGAAGAACGTTATCAAAATTAATAAAAAAAATTAAAATTTTAACTACTCTTCTATGCAATAATAAAAGTGCTAGAATTAGTAATTCAAATGTATTTATAAAATCATTAAAAATTATTAACTGACTTAAGATTTATTAATAAAATAAGTCATTTATTCTGATATTAAAATTTGAGAGAACGGGATGTAATTTTTAAATAATTCATATTTTAAGTAAATTTCAATAAATATATTTATAATTTATTCGTTTTTTTAAATCCTAAAAATTCTCATTGCCAGTTTGGATGGCAAGTTTATCCAAAAACAGAATATATATATATATAAAAACAAAAGAAAAGAAAGATATATTTTCCTCATCAATAATTGTTAAAATTTCATAGACATAAAAATGAAATTACAACTATTATTCACTCTCTGGAAAGAAAAAAATAATGTTCAGGTAGTGAATACTAGTGGTATTTTCTTTTTGCAACTATTACTAACATTTCACCAAGTTTTGTGGTATTCTCTAAACCACATATATTTCTAGATCTTATAATTCCAAACTTTTCAAAATACCTTGATTGCAACTCAAGGTTTGTTGGATCTTTGAAGATCTTCGAATTTTCCAACTCCTTTCTTGAACCCTTTCCTACAATTGGAAATTAACTCAAAGTTTGTTGAATGCCACCATTTGAGGTATTAAAAGATACGGTTATTCAGCCCGTTTGCACAATCCGTTAATTCATGCGTAATGTTAAAATTTGTCATAATCGAATGCACTTGAGGTGGTGTATGATTTACAAGTCATAGTTGGAACATTGAGCTCAGACACAGGTCTATAATTATAAAATTTTATGGAAATATATTCTATAACTTGAGAAAATCTTGAAAAACAACTTATAGGGCTTTTATTCTAGATGTTATTTTTCAAATGGGGAAAAAGTTTAAATAAATTTTAATCGATTAATGACATTAACCACATTTGCATGCAAAGCAATATACCCTTATGAAGACAAATACTATGGTGCACCCCTTTTAAAGGATGTATGTACTTTATAATTAAAAAGAAAAATGGTATAATTTTAACTTTCTAAGTTATAATTACAAAAATGAAAAAAAAAAAACATAACTAAACACAAACATGAAATATAACTAAATAACTCATGAATCGTAATTAAAATAATATTATAATTAAAGAAGAAAATAACATAATTAAGAATGTATATGGTACACTTTTTAAAAATGTTATATGTTAAAATTTCTCAACACATAGTGAGCTCGAAAAAGAAAGAGAGAAGATAACAAAAATAATTGAAAAAGGCCAAAAACAAAAAAAAAAACAAAATAGGAAACAAATAGAAATGAAAATTTTATTTACACATAAAATTCATATAAAAAACTTAACAAAAATTACATGACAATACTATTATTATAAATAAATTCATGTTTAATGGTATTTTGTTTTAAAATGAAGGTTCACAATAAGTCATATCATTATACTATATGAATTTTTTTTTTTTTGTATAGCATTACTCAATTTGGTCTTTGTGTCATTTTAGCTCTTATAATTTGAACTAACTCAATCTTAATTCTGTATTTTTTTACTTGTCCCAATTTAATCTAATTAACATTTTTTTAATGAAAAAAACTAACATAAATTGCACATGCCATATTTTTTTAATAAAATTATAAACTAAATCAATTCAGTAAATTAGCCTTAACC